TTTACACACAAGTAAAAGTTTTAAGTACAAGTGGTTTATAATTAATAAAGAAGGATGTGTTGATGATTACATTATACACCATAAAACGCAGGATGGCTAAAATGGAGGGGGACGATAGAAGTTTTGTGTGATAAGAAAGTGCTACTGAATAGAGTGACAATAAAACCATCTTTGTTGTATGAGTCTCACTATTTGCCGATTAAGAAGGATCATGAGAGGAAAATGTAGGTCAAGAAAATGAGAATGTTGCGATGGTCATGTGGAAAGACTTTGTTGGACATGATACCGAACACGAAAATTAGGAATGCATTTTGTTTGGCATTAATCATTAAGATATTTATGGAATGAAGATTATGGTGGTTCGGGCATGTCAGTAATATACAAACTACCGCTGCAGTGAGGATAATGGAGATGATCTCAATCAAGGGTACAAGGAGGAGTGATCGATCGAGAAGGTAATGAGAAAAAATAGTGTTAGGTTTGACTTGAAGAGTTATCCCTTTCGAAGGACATGACCTTAAAAGAATGAAATAGGTTTTAGAAGGTACAAGTATTGAAAGAAATCTCGGTAGTTTCGCGAAGGTGGAGTCTAGAAAAATGTAACATTTGTCGACTCCTTTGCTTAGTGAACCCCACGTCTAAGTGTTGGTGCGTGAAATCCTGTCGACTTTGGAAATCTGACGATTATGTAAACCTAAAGGTTAACACTCACATTTTTTTTACAAGTCAAACTTCTCTTTATATTCAAGGGACTCAAGATTGTGCAATGAAGTCTCCTATTTGGCGAATGTTATAAGCGTACTCTAAGATCTTTGCACTTACTGGATGGATTACACATATTTATATATGTTTTCATGTTTCACTATTTCTTTCAGCATATGTAGTTATGTTTTTTTGCTTGATTCTTGTATATGCGTCCACTACTTTAGTATCGCCTATCATCGGGTTTGTTACGTGTCCGTTATTTCCAAGACATCTGGTTTTTTTGTATCACCTATCATCGTGTACATACGACTGGAAGTGTCGACTCAGTTTGTATGTATTGGTGTTGCTTTTTGTGGGGCCTTTGGGAGAAGTGGCGTGTTTCTCTTTGGCCATGGGTTGCTCTTGTTGCACGTATGTAAGCTTCTTTAGTTGTTGTGCCTTCCTCTTGCCTCATGTATCGTTCTACCCTTTCTTTTAATTTTTGCATGGTGGTGTGTTTCTTTCCTAAGAACTTCCAGGATAGTAGTCCTGGCAGCAAGCCATAAGTGAAGGCTCTTGCTACTAGCTTCTCGTCCCGGCTAGGTATGTTTAACGTCGCTTCATTGAACATTTTGAAATAATATCTAATGTTTTTCTCCCTCCCTTTGTTTGCGTCCTAAAATCTCTTGCACGTCTCCTCGGTGCTTTCGGAGTTGCATGAAGTTGGTAAGAAACAACTCTTTTAGTTGGGCAAAGTTTTGGACGTTGTTTGGTGCATGACTTTTGAACCATGCTCCCGCGTTACCATCAAGTGTGGTGGGGAAATGCGTGCACCAGAAACGTTCGTTAAGTTTAAGTGATTTCATGTGCCACTCATAGGTATCAATATGACTATCAAGGCATGTGGTACAATGGTATACCTTTAAGTGGGGTAAATGTGACGTGCTTGGAATATATCATAGTTCAACAATTATGGGACAAAAGGCGAGGTGTTTGTGTTTGTGAAGGGTAATTGTGTGCATGTTTGTGCAAGATTGTAAATGGGTTGTTGGGAGAAAGTTGTATTTTGTAGAAAAGCATTAAATATGCTTGCTGGAAAAAAAAATATTTTGGTAGATAGGAACGTTATCATGCATCCCATAGAATTTCGTTATATGCATGTGTGTTGGTGTGTACGACGACGTTTGTTGGTTGATATTCATTTGCGTAAACATGTTGTTGACTGATGGGATGGATACTGGCCGCTGAGTTATCTCGAATGGTGTCGGTTGGATCATTTATGGGTCTTGAAAGTGGACTGAGGGTTGCTGTGAGGTTGTGTTGGTGAAATGGGGGAAGTTGATAGAAGTTGGTTGTTCTCGTTTCATTGATTGTTTTTAAAGTTGTTTGCATTTGTGCTCCATTTGGTGGACTTTCCAGTTAAAAAAGTTGGGTGTTCACCGGTGTGAGTGGTGGAAACCATTGCATGGTGGTTAGCATGAATGGGTGTGGCGGAGCCATCATAGGTTGTGTGGTTGGGTGTGTATTAGTGGTGGTGTATGGTGTTAACGACACTATGGGTCGGACTTGGTGGATCAGAAGGACATGGTGTCATTTCTTATATCGCCATTGTTGTCGGTGATAACTTTGGTTTATCTTTCATTTGTCACAACACATGATGACGACAATGATGCAAAATGAAGTATATCTCTCTGGTGAGTCTCCAATTGGCGATCGAGTCCTGGAACACAAGGGAATAAATGTCAGTTGTACTCTGAGAGGAGATCCCGGGAGGATGCTCTGATGACCAAGTCAATGTGGTTATGGTGAGAGAATAACTCCTTGAGAGCGAAATTAGGAGCTTACCTATTAGAATGATGGTCAATGTCCTTATATACTTGGTGTGAAAGACGCTTTTCTCTCTCTAGGGACAAAGGTGTCAGTCCTGATCTGGGACATAGCTGATCATGGGAGGAGATATCCTCTGTTCTTTGTTTTGTAGTGTGATTGGTCTACATGAGGTGTTGGTGGTGCGTGCGCCACTAAGGTTGTCGGCTGACATTGTGTTGTCGTTAGGAGACTCTATCGCTGGCTGCAAGGACGGGGATTTGCTAGGAAGATTACTCTCGCGGACGTAGTTTCCCGAATGGCGTAGGATCGCTCACGGCCAGTCTCCTACGCTGCTTCCGAGGTGTCTCCTTCTGGCATGGACCAATGGTCCGCTATCATCAACCATCCTACTTCTCCTTACCTCATTTAATAAGATACAAGGGTAATGTTGTTGTTGATATGATTATAATAGTGAAAGTTGGATTGTAGCAAAAATGGCTTAGGGTTTCATGAACCCTAATCTGTTGATGTTCGTGCATGTTGCATCAAGGATAAGATTATTGCTATTTGAGAGTGATTAACATGTTATTAAGTAGAATCAACACAATTTAGTAAAGTTTAATACTTTAATGGTAATGACACAACTCACTTGTACAATAAACATTTGTATCTTACAACAAGAAATATTATGATTGTTGATACAGATGAGAAATTTGATATATTTGTGATTATAGAAAAGTTTGAAGTTACCATTAATAGATATATGAAGGAGATTCTTAGTAATGTAATTTTAGGGGGTAAGTGCTTATGTATGTTGATTGTAAGCTTATATACGAAAGGAATGATGCATGTTTTGGGATACACATTTTCCAAAAGTTTCATGTTTGTATGAGATGTTTTGTTGTCTACATGTTTTAGGAGTCTAAACACAATGATCATATGTAAATAATAGTAGCATCAACTTATGTTTATGTCAAGCATTTACTTAATACATGACATCCGAGTTGTAACTTTCAAGAAGGGGTTCAATTACAGTGGCAGAGCTATAATGAACGTCGGGGGTACTATAGCATCCCCAAAATTTTATTTTTATATATAAATTTTTTTATTTGTAAACATGTTTCATGTTATTGTACACTCAACTAAAAGGATTGTACTATCTTTACGTCGGGATATGCTAACTACATAAATCATAAGACTATATTCTTTTGCTATTTATTAAAATTAAATCCAATTCAACGTTGTGAGGCCAAAGACGACTCAGCGAAGACAATTGAAACATTTTTGTAAACTATGTTTTTGTTATTTATGACTTTAAACAGTAAATAACTCTTCGCAAATACTAGTTTGAATCTTGATGATGTTTGTATCCCATACCAAAATTCATGGTTCTGACACTAGATTCAAACTTTAAACCTACAAATCGTTAGATCCAGATCTTGAACTCTTTAGATTCTAGATCTCAAACTTCTAACATTCTCTTTAAATTTTGAGTTCTTAAACAGACATACATGAAGAGGTTCAAACTCGTAGCTCTTTATTTTGTTTTTATAAAGAAAATAAACACCAAGGGGTTATAAACCCATATTTTAAGCTCTTAGACACGCATCCACTAAATCGTGGGTCACTTTTTCATTCATTTGTTTCCAACCAAAAAAACAAAAAGAAAAAGGTGATGGATTTTTTAGGATAGATGGAGATGAAGATTTAAAAACCGGAGGTGAAGAACAAGGTTGTTGGAAAAATCATGCTTGTTGGAGAAGATAACCAGAGATTTGTCGAAGACGCAAACTGTAGAAACCGACTAAACCTGTAATACTTGATTATATAATGATATATTTTGAACACTATAAACAAATTCAATGATAAAATACAGGTAAAATTCGTTACCTTGTAAGTCATTAACCCAAATAAATATGAATTGTAAGTTTTCTTAACATTATCTGCTGAAAATCATGTAGCTACTTTATTGTTATCCGCCAAAGTCCAAACCACAAGTTACATTCCAGGAACAAAGAAAGTACAAAACTTTACTTACATGGTTAGGTTCACTAGAATAATCGAAAAGTAATGATTATATATATTTACTGAAATTAACAAAAAGAACATGTAAAGTGAACAAATAAGAAACATCAATATGGACATGTTAATATACAAACAACAAAAAATCCAACTATGGAATATAGTCTGTGATTATTTCCAATGGATTTAATCCTTTTAAATTATAGTAGTGATCATAAATTAGAATAATAAACTTCAAAATTTCGTATCTTATTTCATTCATCAACTTATATATTTAACATATTAAGAAAAGTTCACATTCGTACATTGTACAAGAGAACTTGTTTTATATACTAAAACCTCATATAGTAGTTAAAGAAAATGTAAATTGGTTAATGTTTTGATCCCACATCGGTAGAGGATAGAAAGTAATAGAGAGATGAGGTGTATAAAACGGAAGCTAGACAATTAGATTAGATACTTACCTGGATGGGGTCAATGGTTGGTCAAGATGGACCATGGCCTAGGTTAGTGACCTCCATTGCACTGAGGAGGGGTGCTAGCCTAAGGTCGGCCCAAGTGGTCGAGCCTACATCATAATTTGTGCCAGTGGGGGCTTGCGTTCGCGCAGCCCCTGCCCAATATTTTAGTACAGTGTGTTTGCCCCTGCCCAATATTTTAGTACAGTGTGTTAATACGAGGAATTGAAAGATGGATGCAATAATAAGCAAATTAATATAAGTATATTACTATTTTTTCCAACACATGCTTGAGAGTATAGTAAGGAAAATCCGGACTAAGTGACACAAGTATGCATGTTAGAACTAAAGTAACTCACACTTGTATGTATGACACAAGTATGCATGTTAGAGAAGTATAGATGTTATATGGGCGTAGGACTTAGTGACTTAAATCATACAAGATGTTCCACGAAAGTAGCAATTATGTATGTATGAAACAAATATGTATGTTACACTAGTATGTATATTTTGCAAGTACGTCAAATGCTTGATATGTATGTATGTACGTATAGCACAAATATATATTATACAAATATGCCACTCATGTATGTTTAATATAAGTATGCGCAACATACGTACATTTTAAACAAATGTGGCATGCTACACGTTAATTATAACAATCCATACATCAGTTTTCCTAACAATAAGTTTGTACTTGATTATTGTGTCAACAAAGGTGCCTACAGTACAAGTTCATCGTTCGAATCCATTCTCATCAACAAATTAAGATGCTTTTGTTTTAAAACCGTTCAATGTTCTTCCATTTTTGCTTTTGTTTTTTTGTTTTTGTTTTTTGTTTTTGTTTTTGTTTTTGTTTTTGTTTTGTTTTTTGTTTTTTGTTTTTACAATTTCAGTGATAGGTTGGAATCAAGGTGTATTCATGCATATCCTAGATGATTTTTTCTTTGCCGAACAAAAATTTAAGCCTTTAGAAGAATTATTCTTGTCTGGTTCAAGTTCAGGGATATATAGTAGACTTCTAAAATATCAAGTACCAAAGTTTGAAGAAAATGTAAATGCAATTTGTTAAAATGTTTCAAAAGCAAATGTGTGGAACGAAAGAAGCATTATGTGGAAATATGCCTTATAATGGGATCCCACATCGGCAACAGAAGAAAAAGAAATATGACCTTCATTGTTCTATTTTAGTATTTTTTTAGTTTATTCTCATCGTCCTCTTATATAACTGATTATCTTATAATTGATACGAGAACTTCTCATGTAACAAACAATATATAGATTATTATCAAACAAGAGGGCATAAAACGAGTACACCACTACACTAGGCCAAAAGAATATACAAAATACGTACAAATGCAAAATAGTCTTTAACAAAAATCACAACTATATGTTAAATCAGTGCAATTTAATTACAAAAGTTATAAAAATACTACAATAAGAATTCCATAGTGTTAAATGTGATTTACTATCATCCTAATTCTACAACTACACGGGTTAATTCAGATCTTCCACCCATTAATACCTTCTTCTAAAAGATCCATGAATTGAACCATCGTTGGTGCTTGCTCCACCCATAAATTAAAATGAACCACACTTCATGTCTCACTAAATCATAGCCCGAATTGGAGCCTTCGATAAACTTCTAAACCCGAATATGTAAATCTCATACATCTTTACTTTTCATCTCCATCACCTTATTGTTTTGAACCCACTAGACAATAGTTGAGCATAAAGAAGTTCGTTCCACGTGTCAGGGACACCAGGTAGACACCAATGGCTACAATCTTGTGGAGCCTTCAATGGAGTACCTGGTTCCCTATATCTCGAAGGGTGACCATCTTTTCTCATTGTTGTTAGATACGTAATGTTCAAGAATTGGACTTTGTGTTCATCAGTTTCCATCTCTTTGACTACATTTGAAATGATTTGATTGTTTAAATGTTCACTTTCGGGGTTCATGTAGTCTGTTTCTGGTGCTTTACTACGATCACAATGTCCACCGGTGTTCCATTCTCCATCCCTGTATTTACAACATATTAATTTGTTCTTTCTTATTTCACGTAAAACTATTAATCCAAAGGTTATAAATTCGAATGTTGGATGTGATTAGATCACCTGTAATGTACTGGTGAATAGCTTCGAAAGAAGATGTAGCTCCTATCGGAATCCTTGAAAGCCCACGACTTTAATGTTTGAAGAGACTTCGCAAATGCTTCCATCACGTCCATTGTCAAGTTCAGTGTCTTTTCTTCTTGGAAATACCACCCCCTAAACCAAAACCATGATCAGATTGTTAAAAATGGCGTCTTTTTGGATTGAATCGATGATTAGAAAGATGTTATTTGCTTACATTTTTAGGGTTTTGTCTTGGTTCCACCAGTGACCGGCGCTGAAGACAAGAATATCTGCTCCGGCCCACTTTGAAGAGAACCGGTGGAGCTTGTCAACTCTAATGGCTCGCAGGATTTCTTCCGACGAATTTTCCGGTGGGTCGTCGATGACTACCAGGAAAGGGACCCGGTAATACTCGATGGTTAAATTGTAGTCATGGAATCTGATTGAAAGGAAGCCTTTGTGTTTGGTTATGGGGTTTCCATGCTCTTCGTATATTGTGGAAAGGTTTGAGATTCCATGGGAAAGCATGCATAGTAGAGACTCCCATTGGTTTCTTCCGATGGAGTCTCCGGCGAAAACTATTCTTCCATTTCTGCTTCTTTCAAGAAAATCTCTCGCGTCAAATCTGTTCCCATTGGCATTATGATATTAGTTTCAATTCTTTTCTACAATCGGTATGAATATTAAAACACATACTATTTACTTTTGGACATATATAGAGTCCGAAGACACGACATACGATTGAGTGCGATAAAATGATTCATTAATCATAAGATTCGATCAAAATCCAAGATTTCAAAAGGGAACAGTAAGTTTGTCGAGGGGTTAATCTTTTGCCATGGTTGGTTGATAGTTCACTGTTCAAGTCACTAGTCTACGAAAAAGTTCTTCGTTTTGCGAGCGAAAATTCCCTTGAAAATTGTATTTGGTCGGCGAAAAATCTTATCCTAGGTAAGATCCACAGGAAGTATGCTTTTCTATACCACAAAGTTCCAAGAATATGAAAATAAATAATGAGAAAAAAACAAATGGATACCAATAATTAAAATCATTAGGATTCGGAGCTAGAGTAAAGGTTTCATATAAGTTTGTAAAGTTTTGATTGAACCGAGATAATATATATAAATGGAAAAAAACTATATTCATAACGTGCGATGCATGCATTTAATTATGAGCATTAACTCTTCAACCATGGAAACTAACAATAGCTACCTCGAAATTCATATTTTATACCAAAGAGAACTTTAAAACAATAAAAAAAAGCCATGCATGCAGTTTAATATTGCTTAATCTACGAGTTGAAAACTCTAAACAACACCCATACCTTGGTAGATCGCACCCATGCGGTTGCCATCGCCAATTGACATACCCAACATCCCGGCGGCCATTGCGCTGGCATCGGAATCCCGGATCAAGAAAAGGACAATCTTCGTTGTACTTTTGGTTAGGGTAAGTTTCATCCCAAACCCATTTGCCAAACGAATAATCGCAGGTGTTTGTGGATCCTGGAAGTTGGGTGTCGGGTAGGGTTTTGGAGAAGCTAAAAGGAAGAAGAAGACGAGGGTAGAAAGGGGTTAGGACGTTGCAGAAAACAATGGAGGTTATGATAAGAGAGATGAAGAGAATGAGTGCATAGGCCACGTCTTTTTTAGTGGGAAAGGGTAGAATGAAAAAATGGGGTAGCTTTTGGGGTTGAGTTTCCTGAGGAAGATCCATTAGAAGAGGAGGATTGGTTGAATGAGGGAAATATTAGGTTTACTTTTTGTTAATATTAAAGGGCTATTAATCGATAGGGGGGAGAGCTAGCGACATAGAGATTTGAGTAATGATGTTAGTTTTGCATTTATTGGAGATAATTTGCATCTAGGCCCTTTTATATTCTTACGTATTAAAATGATGCCTGAAACTTGTAAAAAGCTAATGAGTTAGAGTGGTAACGAATAATGAATTCTGAATTTGATTGATTAATACCTTGTGGTTAATGATACTCACCGATAGAATGTTATGTTATATCTAATTGTTCTTATGGATTTTATCTTTCCAAGTCTTTTTGTGGCAACAAATAGAAAAATTCGTAGCTTCGTTTAGGTCTGTTTTAAAAAATATTTTTGGTCCAGAACGACAGAAAACAAAAGGCCTTTAAATATACAAATTTCATAAACTATTTTATAATAACTTAATAATTGAAAAAAAATTATTTATACTAGCTTCTAAATATAACATTTTCGATTACAAAATCCATATATTTAAAGGATAAATATTTCTTCTAGCTGAAACTATGTTTTGGCATGATACTTGGGTATGCTTGTCACCCTTAAACTCACTCTATCCCAACCTGTATGTAGCTAAAATAGAGAAAAAATGTAAGATGGAGGACATAATAAGAATTTATGGTTTCACTTGGGTCAAGGCATTTTGGGTAGACCTCGCTCTATGTTGACTTGGGTAATCGTATTACAGTTATCGAATCGTTTCAACCTAACTCGGAGAGGGATTCTTGGTGGTACGATATGGTTCCACATGGGAGACACAAGGTAGATGCGTTAAGACATTTAATTAACAATTCTACTCTCTCTCTCTCTCTCTCTCTCTCTCTCTCTCTCTCTTTCCCAAACTCGCAAACTCACAAAGGAATAGGAAATCACTAGACATTTAATTAACAGTTCCACCCTATGTTCGTTCTGTGGGCTTTTTGACGAATGTGTTGATCATATCCTTATAGGATGTACTTTTGCAAAAGCTACTTTTGAACGGATTCTCAGAAGGTGTGGCATTTAGTTCCCACACCCGTATGCACAAGCACCATGTCTTACGATGGTCTTCTAGGAAATCACTAGACGTCAATTTAACTTTAGCTCTTTTTCCAACGATATTCTTCCAACCTAAAAGGCCATCACTATATTTGGGTACGGTTCACCCTTAAGTTCATGTTTCTACCCTTACCCCCTTCAACGTGTGCCCCTATTTTTAATTAATTTATAATGAATTAATTCACTTGCATCGGTCATACAGACACTTCACCATTCAACATTATGTAATCATGCTTGTTCTTTATTCATTAATTCAAGGCACATTACACCACATATCATAATAAAATCATGTAAATAAAATACACCTTTTAAAATCATATTCATTGCTAGCATGCATTCCCTAATTCCAAGATAAACATGTTATTTTAGAATCATAGCAAGTATAGACTTCACACTTTAATCATCAAATACAATTCTTACCACTAGCATGGACCTAGCCACTCATTTCATGCAAATTCATCATATCATGGTGTCTAGTAGATAAATTCACCCAATCACTTTTCTCACAGAGAAATGATAACATCTTACAACCTGTACTTCACATATAAACAAAACATAACATCAAATACAAAGTCCTAGACCAATAGATTGTACTAATACATACAAGTCTCCATATTTGTACTAGACAACAATAAGAAAGACCCACCTCTAATCCGAATGAAATGATGTAATGACCTAATTTTTCAAAAGAAAATTTTCATTTTTAAATAGTCAAAAACATTTTCAATAAACCATAAAATCTCAAGCACATTTGTTTTCAAATTCATAACATCAACAATATTATCCCAAACATCAGAGTGTCCCATAAAAACGTCTGAGAAAGAGTGCATGTTGCGTCATCAATCCTTGCCCTTGCCCTTAGGCTCAGATGTACCTGAAACAAATCCACAAAATGTATGCTAATGCTTAATGAATTCCCCAGAGCATACTCCACACAATCCACATAATCACATAATCATATTAGTTATAAAAGCTACATAAACCACATAAACCATACATACAACATATAGGGGTGTCGTGGGCTCCTCCCCATGGTCTTACTCCAAGATGCCATGGGTTCCTCACACGGTCTTACACCTAAGTGCCATGGGCTCTCCCATGGTCTTTAATAGGAAATCCATGGGCTCTCCACATGGTCTTACATCCGGGTGCTATGGGCTCTCCTATGGTCTTTAGTAGGAAAGCCATGGGCTCTCCACATGGTATTACATCCAGGTGTCATGCACTCTCTCATGGTCTTCCATACAAGCATACCACCTATACAACTAGCATACTTGCTAGCACATAACTAACTATCATGCCTTATAATATAACTTTAGCTAGTGTACCATAAAATGGGTCGGCCTTGGTGCCTTCGACCTATTGGTATGGTGAGGAGACTCACCTCTCGTGACTGCTGAACCGACAAGATAAGATCAGGTAAGTCCCAACGTGCAGCTCCAACTCAAGTGCCTATATCCATCATGTGAATAAATTGTCAAATCCCAAAATACCATAATTACCCTAAAAGTCAACCCTGGTGAAAGTCAAGGTCAACAGTCCATGTTGACCCTAACTCGTCGAGTGTATCTAGCAACTCGTCGAGTTCCTTTAGAGTCCAGAAAACTGAAGTCCCGAGTCAACTCGCTGAGTCCTTTAGTGTCCAAGGGCCGAAAACTCTAAACCGAAATCTCTTAATCAGCTAATCGAAATCACTCTGGATCTCGAAAACAGGAAAACCCTACCCGACTCGTCGAGTTAGCTAAGCAACTCGTCAAGTCCCTTCAGCCCTTTTTGTGTTAAGTCCTTTCTAGTGGAATCCAAGGCTCCAAACTACAGATCCAACCCCTTATGGTGTAGTTACCACGTAAAGTTGCAAACTTTACGTGCATCCAAGGCCTCAAATGGCTAAAATGCTAAACTAGGGTTCATACAACACTCAGGACATGGAAAAGGGCTTAGACTAGGTAAAGGAAGCAACTTTATGTCATGAAAGACCTAGAGATGTACAGATCTGGAACCATATCCTCATGACAAGTCTAAATCCAAGTATGACACCATTTTTGCACTATAGGTGACCATATTCTTCCATGAGATGAGATCTAAGAAAATATAGATCAAGGTAGGAACTTTTACCTCCAAATGGATGCTAAAAATAGGTAGATACCGGATCCAAAGCCTTCTCCTCACTTCAATCTCTTCAACCTTCAAGTTTCCCTCCAAAAAGCACAAGATTCACTCTACAAATCTCACATACACTCAAGAAAGCACCAAAACATGTCTAGGGTTTATCTCTGGACTGTAAGAATGATGAAAGAGGCTACAATTTTAAATAGGGTACAAACCCCTAAAAATTATGGTTTTCCTTTAAAGCGCCTGCTCGTTGAGTCGGGGACTTCTAACTCGTCGAGTAGCATCTAAATCCCGCTTTCTCATAAATGATCTCTACTCGACGAGTTGGAGCTCCCCAACTTGTCGAGTCCTAGCACAAGGCCTTAAAAACTTAGAGAATTAAATGATACCTAGAACAGGCATTACAAATGAACTAGGAAAAAAGGAAATCAGCCTTTCAAAAAACAATCTAACACCCCTACAACAGATTATAGCAACACGGTTAAGAAACGACACCAAACCAACGAAAATGACTACCCTGATCATTAGGCGCGTCACATTAGCACATGGCACATCACACTCACATTAAGAACAAGATGCGGGAAATGTGACTTCTAGAATTCCCAATTAGTTTTTAACCTTCTTTGGGGTGTTTTCAACCAGTAGAAACATACCTAGGATGTCTAGGTTGATATACAGCTTTGTAGTAATCGTTTAGTTGCTAAAACATCCAGAAAAACTTCTTTGAGTGCAAGAACAAGACCATCACCACAACCAACCGATTTGGAACATAAATATGGGTAAATATAAGTAGCGATGAGTCATAATAATTATGGAAATATGGTAGATTTATAGGTGAATGAAGAAGGGAAGAAGACACAATCTTTATAAGAAGATTCTTCACCTGAAAGCACCAAAAACACACCACCACCTTCTTGGATCTTTACCACAACTTCAAAAGTGGAGAACACACTAAGAAACTCTATTAAAGTGAGTTGGAAGTTGAAAATAGGGTTTGATTCTCATATTTTAGGGCTACATTAGTTTAAATACATGATAGATTTCATTCGAGGCCCCTAAATTTTGAGAAAATGACGCATGATCCCTATGTGTCACACCCCGGCCGACAGCGGAAACGCTAAGCTGTTCGAAGTTAGAATGTTAGGTATTAGGGAAAATACATACATTGAGTAATACACTGATATATTAAAAAACTTTTCTATTTATTCATTAAATAAAATATGTTACAAAGTTGTTCGAGGTACAAATAGGTCACAAAAGCAAAGCATCACTAGGGTTACCTCCTTCTTCAACCAGTTTCATTCTCATGAGAATACATGTGGTTTTTGAAAGGTCAACATAATGTTGGTGAGTCTACACGTCTTATTGTTATAAAACGTGGTGTGGTTATTTTAGTTATCTCGTTTATCCTAAACCGACTTCCTCGAGTTTGTGTGTACTATCACTACTTTCTTAGGTTATATCCTAGTTGTAGTCTAAGATATTTAGTTTTAGTTTAACAAAGTTACGATGAGTTCCTATGATCGAGCTCTGACTGTTGATCTCGAAATCCACAACGCTTCATCGGACGTCACAAATATGTTTAAATAGTTATGCCTGCTCCGACTTTCCATCAGGTTGTAGCTAGCAACCAGATGTGGGAGTTTCAATCATGTATAAATCTATACATATCTTTCCTGCTCACTTAAGCTTTAACGATTATAAGCTGGGTGCTAGTTGAAAATTTTTCTGCGTGCTGATGACTTATGTCTCATCTAGCTCTTGTTGTGTGGGGGCCTCCCCTGGTCGTTCATG